GTAGTTAGATCAGGGACGTGCACAGACATTTGGAGGGGCTACTCTAAACTGGAAAAAGGGCCTCCCCCCCGAAAAAATATATAAGACCAAAACGATTATTACACTGAACAAAAATATAAATGCAACACTTTTGTTTTTGCTCCCATTTTTCATGAGATGAACTCAAAGATCTAAAACATTTTCTATATACACAAAATAACCATTTCTCTCAAATATTGTTCACAAATCTGAAAATATCTGTGATAGTGAGCACTTCTCCTTTGCCGAGATAATCCATCCCACCTCACAGGTGTGGCATATCAAGATGCTAATTAGACAGCATGATTATTGCACAGGTGTGCCTTAGGCTGGCCACAATAAAAGACCACTCTAAAATGTTCAGTTTTATCACACAGCACAATGCCACAGATGTCGCAAGTTTTGAGGGAGCGTGCAATTGGCATGCTGACAGCAGGAATGTCCACCAGAGCTGTTGCCCGTGAATTGAATGTTCATTTCTCTACCATAAGCCGTCTCCAAAGGCATTTCAGAGAATTTGGCAGTACATCCAACCGGCCTCACAACCGCAGACCACGTGTAACCACACCAGCCCAGGACCTCCACATCCAGCATGTTCACCTCCAAGATCGTCTGAGACCAGCCACTCGGACAGCTGCTGCAACAATCGGTTTGCATAACCAAAGAATTTCTGCACAAACTGTCAGAAACCGTCTCAGGGAAGCTCATCTGCATGCTCGTCGTCCTCATCGGGGTCTCGACCTGACTCCGGTTTGTCGTCGTAACCGACTTGAGTGGGCAAATGCTCACATTCGATGGCGTCTGGCACGTTGGAGAGGTGTTCTCTTCACGGATGAATCCCGGTTTTCACTGTTCAGGGCAGATGGCAGACAGCGTGTGTGGCGTCGTGTGGGTGAGTGGTTTTCTGATGTCAATGTTGTGAATCGAGTGGCCCATGGTGGTGGTGGGGTTATGGTATGGGCAGGCGTATGTTATGGACGACGAACACAGGTGCATTTTATTGATGGCATTGTGAATGCACAGAGATACCGTGACGAGATCCTGAGGCCCATTGTTGTGCTATTCATCCACGACCATCACCTCATGTTACAGCATGATAATGCACGGCCCCATGTTGCAAGGATCTGTACACAATTCCTGGAGGCTGAAAACATCCCAGTTCTTGCATGGCCAGCATACTCACCGGACATGTCACCCATTGAGCATGTTTGGGATGCTCTGGATCGGCGTATACGACAGCGTGTTCCAGTTCCTGCCAATATCCAGCAACTTGGCACAGCCATTGAAGAGGAGTGGACCAACATTCCACAGGCCACAATCAACAACCTGATCAACTCTATGCGAAGGCGATGTGTTGCACTGCGTGAGGCAAATGGTGGTCACACCAGATACTGACTGGTTGTCGGACCCCCCCCAGACCCCCCCAATAAAGCAAAACTGCACGTTTCAGAGTGGCCTTTTATTGTGGCCAGCCTAAGGCACACCTGTGCAATAATCATGCTGTCTAATCAGCATCTTGGTATGCCACACCTGTGAGGTGGATGGATTATCTCGGCAAAGGAGAAGTGCTCACTATCACAGATGTTTTCAGATTTGTGAACAATATTTGAGAGAAATGGTTATTTTGTGTATATAGAAAATGTTTTAGATCTTTGAGTTCATCTCATGAAAAATGGGAGCAAAAACAAAAGTGTTGCATTTATATTTGTGTTCAGTGTACATTAACTAATTTGAACAGTAATTCACATCATCATCTCATAACAAAATAAGCTAAGATGACTACTTGCATTCGGTGACTTGATTTTTTAAATGAAAACCAGGGACATTCTTTGTTTTGCGGTCCATATCTCATTAAAATATCTAATGTTAGTAACTACTAAAGAAAAAATGTGGACAATTCAATGTAGATTGACCATTGCAGACATACTGATAAAATAGGGCTTCTATAATTAGGCTACCTTAAATAAACTCACTAATTGATGAAACCAGTTCAATACGCATTATTCTTATTCTTATCATTCTTTATGAGCGCAGTAACGGTAAGGTATCGAATTACTTATTTATTTAGTATTCCATAACATAATAACAGAGATGGTCAAATTAAAGTAGAGACATGGCAGAAATCCTACAATGAAGCGGGCAGTGAAGTGTTCTCCTGAGAGAGGGCGATCAAGAAAAGAGAGCGAGCGGCCCCGTCGAGGGAGTTTACCATGCGGACAATTACATGTAAGAAGAAGAAGTAAAATAAGTAGAAGAAAAAAGAAGCTGGTGTGTTTCCCGCAGCGAGACACTACAATACTAATTGTGGGCTTATCATGTTGATTCGACCACAACAGAAACAAAAAAAAACCTCTCGCTCACTCCAGAGGGGCAGGTCAGCCAAAAAGGAATAGCCCGTACCTGTGCACGTTCCTGAGTTAGATTAGCCTGAGAGACTGCAGACTAACCCACTTACTATATATACGGACAGTGTAGCGTTCACTGTCCTGCCGGGTAAACAGGCTGTTTACTCGCTGACCTACATCCTGACGGAGAGACGGACAGCTCAGGGAAAAACATGACAAGACGGAGCTGAAATGTAACCATGAGGACCCCCATTTGAGTCCCCACGCCGACATTGAACCTCACATTTGAATCTATTTACATGCCTTCTCAAGTCCAACAATCAGGCCAAACATACAATAATTCAGTTTAGTATAATTTAGGACAAAGAAAACTGTTAATTTTCATGTTTTAAAAGTTGAAGTCATGTTGCAAACAAACAGACTACCCTGCAAACTTAAAAGTTTACGATGTTTCGAGTTTGTTTGCAACTTTTGATCTAGCTTCCTCGTCCTTCTGAGCACCTGACTTATAGAAGTAAATGTGCTTTTGGTCATAGCTGAAAACAATCTAATGTTTGGCATTTTTGAACAAAATATTACCTTAATAATGAATAATTTCTGATATTAGTTTACAAATACATTTTGGATGATTGCTTAATCAAGTAGTTTATTGTTTATTCATCAAAAATAAAAATAAACTACAGTATTCCTCGTATAAATATACTATATTAATCTGCTTGAAATTTGAACTTGATTTTTTCCCACCATTGGACTCTATAAAGTGCATCCACTTAATTGTAGAAAAAAAAAACGGAGGAGGAAAGACAGACAGGAGAGAGAGACTGTCTGTCTGTCTGTCTGTCTGTCTGTCTGTCTGTCTGTCTGTCTGTCTGTCTGTCTGTCTGTCTGTCTGTCTGTCTGTCTGTCTGTCTGTCTGTCTGTCTGTCTGTCTGTCTGTCTGTCTGTCTGTCTGTCTGTCTGTCTGTCTGTCTGTCTGTCTGTCTGTCTGTCTGTCTGTCTTTCTGTCTGTCTGTCTGTCTGTCTTTCTGTCTGTCTGTCTGTCTGTCTGTCTGTCTGTCTGTCTGTCTGTCTGTCTGTCTGTCTGTCTGTCTGTCTGTCTGTCTTTCTGTCTGTTGGTCTTTGCTGCCCCCTGTTGGAGCTCCATGGTGTTACAAAAGACAAACAGGGAGAGTCCACAGGAAGGAACCCTGTGACCTGTCGAGATTAACAACCTGATTAAAGAGGATCTTGACAAGCTTTTGACCTGAGAACACCCAAACACACACACACACACACACACACACACACACACACACACACACACACACACACACACACACACACACACACACACACACACACACACACACACACACCTGTCTGTCAGTCTTACTGTCTGTCTCTCTGCAGTTCAGCTTCTCCTTCGTGGAGACGCACGACGTGTCCGCAGTGAGGATCCGCCCTCGCTCGCTGGTTGGCTGGTCGGAGGAGGAGAGTGAGGAAGAGGGCGAGTCCAAAACCTCGCCAATCATCCAATCAGAGGCCTCCGCTTTTACCCTGAACATCGACGGAGAGCTGGTGGAGATTGCTAACGAAGTGCTTATCAGGTATCAATATAAAATCTTTATTATCAACATAAACATTATCAACAATATTATTACTGTCTGAAGCAGGGTGGCAGCTAGTTATTAATTGATAAATAAGCTGGGGCAGTACATTTTTGGCATTATTGGGTAACAATTCCATAATTATCTTTACAATATTAGTAATTTGATTGGTTCCCATTGGAAGGCAGTTTTCTGGAAAAGGCAAAAAAAAGTAAAAATGCCATAAATAGAAAAATACAGTTCTAATCCTGCAGCTCTCCGAGACCCAATGACGGCAGAAAGAAACTGCCTACTACCCCAGCTTTAAATGAACACTGTTTTTCTAAAGTGCATTTTTGTGTACGTGGTGCGTTCAGGGTCCACCCGCGGCTCATCACTCTGTACGGGGAGGAGGTGGACGAGGCCGAGTCGACCGTCTCCTGCAGCTGCATCTGAGTCCATCAGAGAGACAAAAACACATCGCCATGGTAACAACAGTGACTTGACAGTGCCCTCTCTGGGTCATTACTGTTTCCATCGCGATGTGAACTAACGTAGAAGCTTTAATCAAAGTAGAAACAGAGCTTTGCAGCTTCCTGTTTACTTCATGCATTGTTTTGTTTTTATAACTGCAGCTTTAATAACATAACGTAACTTTTGTAAGCTCTCTTTAACTCCAAACTACCCGTGCTTTGTAAAGTTTCTCACGCCTAGACCAGACTGAAGAGGATAAAGATTTTTTTATTTTATTCAAATTAATGTTAATATTTTTACAAAATGTTAATACCAAGCTCTTCTCAAATGGCTTTATTTTACTAATGCCTATTTTTTTTTACAATTTTCATTTTGTTTTAACCTGTCCAGTTTCTGGAAGTTAAAAGTATTGAATCCAACACTGTGAGAAAAAAATATAAAGTTTATGTTAAATGTTTTTGTACAGATGAGCAGAACCAGACTCGACGAGCCAAAAGTGTCCAAAGACTGTAATATTTGAATATAACATTTTTTATTATATTATTCTGACAAAGCAGTGTTTTAACAGATGTAATCATGATGATGAAAACAATACAAGTTGTTGTTTAAATAGAAAATCCTTAATTTTAATAAAAAGGTGTTGCTAAAAGCAGTGAGACTCCAGTGCAGAACAACTTCACATAAACAAAAACATACTCATTCATTTAAATACTAAGAAGATATTTATGTGTGATGTGCATTTGTATGAAATAAACATAAAGGAAGGTAGCGGCTGGCTTCGATGTCTGCATTCATTGAGTATTTTTAAATATCAAACATTACTTCAAGTAGTCTTTCAACATTCAACCCTGCGACTCAACATGTTGCATATTTTGCTGCATTTTCACAATAATAGTTTAGTTTGTATCTAGGAGCAGTTCACCCCAAAAAATATGATTTAATTTCTCGTGTACATAATCTTTGAGTATCCTAAAGAAAGCGCTCTATAATTTAAATGTGCCTGAATAAAATGGTGGTCTTTGTGACTTGCACGGGCTGGTCACAACAAGTCGAGGTTGTTCCAAAAATGTTGCAGAGATCTTCTTCCCCCCAATAGCAAATCCATTAATCGTGCAATTCCAACAACAACAATTCTGAAGTAAAGTGATTCTGCCAATAAATGTCCTTGAGAGCCTTAAGAGGTATTAGCTCAGAAAAATAAATCCCATAGTGAAAACGTGCTGAAGGGTAAAAACAAAGTGATGGTTTTCCGCTTTAAAACACGTAAAAGCCGTGAACCAGCACATCCCAGCTGCCATCACTTATTTTGTTTGGACAAGGGTGTGTGTGTGTGTGTGTGTGTGTGTGTGTGTGTGTGTGTGTGTTGTGTGTGTGTGTGTGTGTGTGTGTGTGTGTGTGTGTGTGTGTGTGTTGACAGTGCATAAAGTGTTGGCCATGAGATAAAAAGTATAATGTACACAGTAAAAAGGAGGTTCTACAGAAAGCGATGCACGGTCTACCTCATCATGTCTCTGACAGCTACTTCTCTGAACTGCAGCCCATTCTTTCTACATTGAGTTTGTATTCAGTGACCAGTTTATGGAGCCTGCAATTCACTGCAATTTCCACAACATGGTCTCGCAAAAATGTGACATTAAAAACCTGAAGGGATTTGATCCACAGAAACCCTTGAAGGGCTTTTAATTATAAACAGAAAGAGGAAGGGCTGAGTAATAAATAAATACTTTTTAACTGATACTTATTCTTCAAATATAGAAATTGACACTGATGGGATGGCTTTACCATGACGAGCAAATAATAAAATGTGTTGTTTTTGACAGGAACAGCTTGTCTCATGCAGGAAAATAAAATGAGACTTAAATCTCTATAGTTGATGAGGCGTGAAAGCAAAAGCACACTGGCTGCTCAGGTAGGCAGTGTGGCCGAGGCGTGATGAGCCAATCAGAGGCCAGGTTTTCATCCCTTGAGATCAAAGGTCATCAGAAAGTCTCTTCCTTTGGTTTTTTTCAACTTAAGAGAGTCAAAATGGCGGTCATCAATAAGTGTCACAGGTGATGCAGCATCCCAGGAAGCTCCGAGGCCTTCTGATTGATTCAGGTTCACTTCCCTTTTATTAATCCTCCATCCATTGCTGCCTTCTTTTCAAGTCTTTGATCTTGTCTGGATTTGTAAAGGCACATTATTAAAAATTGTTTTAAAGGTCAAGTTCAGGAGGTGTTCACTTGAGACATTTTATCATCGGTGACACGGGCGTCACGTCTGAAACCAGCTGACTCAGTCTGGACAGATTTCATTGGCCGACGGTGTTCAACGGCAACTTTCCACTGCTTTTGGATGAATTGGATAGCCATATTTTCACACAGCACTCCATTCATCAGCACACATGTCTCATTGAATCTGTTGCACAGTCACAATGTGAACTCCCTCCTGAGGTCAGAGGTCACAGTGGGGGTTAGGAAGTGCTCTCTCTTTTGTCGTTTTTAGGAACGTAGTCCCAGCTGTCTCTCTTGAACTCTTCCTCCTCCTTTTTCTGGAACTCCCTCTTAAAGAAGCCGGCCTGAGAGACAGACAGGTGGACAGAGACGCAGAGGTACAATTAAAAATTATGCTGGTGTTGCTATAACAATAATTATAACTTGATACACTGTGCTTTATCCGTTGGTTATGCTGTGGTTAGCTGCAGTTTATGAGTTAATTCACCCAAAGATTTTCTGCAGATTTTAAATGAAGGGATGCAGAACTTCATTTTGTAAAAAAAATCACACACAAAAAAGCATTCTGCAATATCCTGTATTTGTCTGTTTATTATATTAGAATATACTGCAGTTTCAGTATCATTAAATTGCAATATGCTGTGTTTTATCAGTAAATAATATTATAACATACAAGCAATATACTTCCAGTGTATAAAAACTAATATTTACCTTCCACAAACACCAGATGAAAGCAGCCAGGATCAAAAGACCCAAAACTAAACTGACGACGATGATGAAGACCTTTACTGTTGTTGAGGGTTTCTGGGTAAAAAGAGCCTCAACAACCACCTGGAAATATACATTGAATACAATTATACATATGATTATTACTTAAACCCAGGATTATGCATGAGATAGAAGCACAGTAAGGGAACAAGTAAAGTTTGACTCTAGGGTTTTTGGTGTCCAGGTGTGTTACCTGTGCTGCTGGTTGTTCGTGGATGAGGACGGTGTGAGGGCTTTCTCTGGGGTTTGACATCAGCGCTGTGCTCTCCAACTTCATGACACCATGACGACCCTGAGATGGAGACATTTAACAGTTTCTCTAAATGCATTTGAGATAATTAAACATAATTGGCTACAGACACATCAGACTTAGATTTGTTACATAAAGTGCCTTTGTGGTCTTTTTATGGCCAGCTATGGAATTGCCATTGCCATTAACCTTTGTGTTTTTCAAAATGTTATTTATATTTGAAAAGTCTGAAAACAGTGTGTGTGTGTGTGTGTGTGTGTGTGTGTGTGTGTGTGTGTGTGTGTGTGTGTGTTGTGTGTGTGTGTGTGTGTGTGTGTGTGTGTGTGTGTGTGTGTGTGTGTGTGTGTGTGTGTGTGTGTGTGTGTGTGTGTGTGTGTGTGTGTTACCGGAGCTTGCAGTAAAACATCTGGGTTCAGTCTGATCTCCAGTTTGATTATGGCATCTCCTCCCGCCTCCAGGGTACCGAGCCGACACACCAACCGCTCACACAGCTCATCTCCACGGGCACAAAACTGCACAAACATAGAAAAAGAATAAAGTCATTACATTATCAGGTGGGTGGGTTGATGATGGTTGACTTCAACACAAGCATCTCAAATGATGCTTCATCAAACCTAAATCACATTGGTCATCATGCAACAGCAGTCAAAAAGTCCTGCTCCCTTTCGGACACACTTTTTTTTATTGAATATATAAATATTATCATGAATGTGGATAAATACTGTATTTTAACAATACGGTATTCTGTTTTTCACATTTGTTATTTTTTTAATCTGTTCGAAATAATAAAGTTTTCTTTAACTGTAAATTCATCTAGTATAGTCTCTTTTCAGCAAGAACGTCACTGATACTGTTAATCACATAAGTCACATCTGCTAAATAAATCTGAAGGTGGTCTTTAACCTTATTCCACAAAGATCAACCCATGACTTCACCCACCATTAGCTGCATGTCAGCAGAATTCTAAGTTTTCTGGTTGGATTTTTTACACTGATGCTTTATGGGATTTGTAGTTGACTTCTTTCCTCAAGTGAACCCAGTCCTAGCTGTAGCTTTTTAATCAATTGATCACTTTGTACAAGTGTCTGCCAGTGAACGCTGCTTTAAATAAGTCTGTAATGTTCTATTGTGTGTGTGTGTGTGTGTGTGTGTGTGTGTGTGTGTGTGTGTGTGTGTGTGTGTGTGTGTGTGTGTGTGTGTGTGTGTGTGTGTGTGTGTGTGTGTGTGTGTGTGTGTGTGTGTGTGTGTGTGTGTGTGTGTGTGGCCTAGCATTACTATACTTGTGGGGACCTAAATCTGTTTACACAGTCACGTGTGGGGACTCGCCTCCCTTATGGGGACAAATTGGAGGTCCCCATGAGGGGAATCATTAATTTTAGGGTGAAGACTTGGTTAGGTTTAGGGTTAGGGTTAGGGTAAGGGTTAGGGTTAGGCATGTGTTGGTTATGGTTAAGGTTAGGATAAGTCTTAAAGCACCCAGATATTGTTCTAAACTGTATTAAAGTAAACAGGTATTATCTTGAACTGTATTGAAGTGAACATGTATTATTTGGGACTGTTTAAAGTAATCCTATATATCTAAACCTTCTTACTTACACTCCATGACCCAGAGACCCTGACACACACACATACACCTCCTGTCTCCATGCAGCACACACACATAAACTCCTTAACCCAGATATCAGCAACACACACACACACACACACATACGCCACTTTCCCTCACTAACACACACACATGTTCTTTTTTCAAGGTCCTTGCTGGGAATAATCCCAAGCACCAATATATCTGTGTACAATGTTTGATTGTTTTAAAAGAATAGTTTGTGTGAAACCTTCCCTGGGAAATTAAAGGAGTTGGGTCCGGTGGAAGATAAGAAGTGGCTGTCCACCTCAAAAATATATCCATATATACTGTTGTGTAGTCATGCAAAACCCCCCCTGTTTCTGACTGGCTGGTCCCGATACCTGTATCGCACAGCAGTAGAACTGGGAGTCCGGAGTACTCTGTAAACTTGTATTGGTGTTTTTTACCATTAAAATCAGATTATTGTTATAACTTTTATGCCGGTGTGTTGAACTCCCTCTTTTATCAATCTGACCAGGCTCATCTAACGGACGGCGCGGAGCAGAGGTGGGCTTTAAGCCACCACTATTGTGTTTGCTCCTACAATCTCCAGGAAATGCATGTAAGTCAATGTAATGTCCCCTGAAGTGATGTATACATGGTGTGTGTGTGTGTGTGTGTGTGTGTGTGTGTGTGTGTGTGTGTGTGTGTGTGTGGTGTGTGTGTGTGTGTGTGTGTGTGTGTGTGTGTGTGTGTGTGTGTGTGTGTGTGTGTGTGTGTGTGTGTGTGTGTGTCTGGTGTACCATTCTGCGGGTGGAGGTGGAGGAGAAGAAGAAAACAATCTGTTTGATGAAGGAAGCTTCAGGGACGTCACAGTCCTCATTGACTGAAATAGTCGTGTCACTGATCGAACACACACCGTGAGAGGACTGTAGGGAGAGAACATTGAGATTATAAATACACACACTTCATTTACCTTTTTGTATGACAACTCCTATTAACACAGCTTCTAACATATTTCTACTGCTTCTTCTACTCCAACCATCACTGCCATGAATGTTCGAGGTGGCATATAATGCTCAAAACATTGTTTTTGTTCTCGTCTAGTCTTCCTTTGATCAGATAGTTGCTGATATTACTTACTGAAAATGACTTCTGTACGTACCTGCCAGTCGACCACCTGCATCAGCCTGTGTCGGTAAGGTGCGAGGATCTTTGGTAGCGCGATGTCCACCACAGTGTCTACAGACCTGCTGGGACCAGAGTTTAACACCTGCAGACACACACAACAACATACAGTTCATACCAGAAGTTAAAGTGACTGTTGAACAAATGTAGTTGACTTAAAACAGCAATGTCCCCTCTGAACGGTAGTAGAATTGAGGTATAGAGTAGTTTTAAGGAAGTTGATTAGGTTGGTCTAAACGGGACAATAGTTTCACATTCAGAAGATGTGTTGTACTATGGGAAATATAACCATTGTGTAGAGCAGTTTTACAGAGAAGAGAGTAAAATGATACCTTGTATGTGTAGTTGAATCTTTCATTATAACAGTCAACCGGAGTTGTGTCTTCATCTCCAAACACAAATGAGGTGGGAGTCACAAAACTGCAAGACAGAGAGATAGACATTAGAGAACAGAAACTATTTTCTAGAAGAAAAAAAAACATATAATCTAATGATTTATAAGTTTGTTGACTCTAATGTGTTGCCTTGTGTAACAGTAATACGTTTTTTAGTATAGTATGCCGATTCTAACTCACCCGTGGATGTTGACGTTGACTCCATATTTTAGAGGAAGCAGGAGACTCATTGAGTTGTCATGGAGATACTCTGCCCTCTCATAGTTATCGCTAGAAAAAGAGATTTGAAACATTAAATATGTTTTGTTATTGCTAAATTCACAGTACGAATAACAGCTATAAGAGAGATCCTTTCTTCTCTACAAAGCAGAGCATTTCTACATTTCTTTCTAAACAAACAATAATAAAGAGGAATCCATTAAATTTACACTTTTATTGAAGTTAACTCATACAAATGTTATAACTAAATAACAAAATAACCACTGCATGTATTATGTGTTGAACATTTTTATATGAATAATATCTAAAACGTTATTCTTACGTCTTGCTTCAAAGACAAATGTACGGGTACAAGAGTTGTGATGTCAAAAATGGTGATTGTTGCACTTGGTATAAAAGCTTTGGAAGCTTTATTGAAACGTTTTGAAACTTCCCCTCTGGAGTTGAGCGGAGGTGTGTCCTTACCTGCTGGTGTTGAGGTGAATCATGATGTCACCAGCTGTGCTGTTAGGATTGACGTCCAACAGGAAGCTGATGTTCAACTAAAAGAAACAGTTAATGTGTCAGTGATTTCAAATTAACAGCTGCATCAGTGTGCGGACAAAAGCATTCAACCTTAAAACTGCTGCTCTGCTTGTTTCTGGAGGAAACTCAGATATTTCCACAGTTGATATTGCAACATTTAAAACACAACTGGGCAAAAGGACATACAATTTTTTTTCTGCAGAACAAAAAAGTACAGATACACTTGATCTCATCTTTGACCTACAGTACAGGCTGTTTTCAGTAAGACTGGGCTGAGGAGAAATATTAGCCAAGTGTCTTTTCATTACTCAAAAACTGTGCAATATCTGTCTGTCCAGATAGAGATATCGCCATGCCTTTTGCTTTAGTTATTTTACAGTCAATAACAATCTGAGCCTGTAAGTGGTAAAAGCTAACGTTTATAGTGGTCATTAATTCACGGGTGTTCATTCGCCCACAGGGTTGCATCGTAACTTTTTTGAGGCTTTCGCACACTACTTCACCAATTTCACTATTGTCGTCCCCATAAGTCAATTAGACAAAAACATATAGGAAAACAGGGCCTAATTCTGGCTAACGTGGGTGTAAACTCTCAGCTGAAAGTCTTGCCAAAACTGAGGGGAGTTGAAGGTTGAAGTACCTGCATACCAAAGAGGCGAGTTGATATGTTTGGCGCAGTGGGAACATGGCATCAGTGTTGTGATACAATCATTTCACTTAGTGTGTGATTTGCTAAGGTTTACCTGGGCATGGGCTGGCAGGAGGAGGCTGGTGACGCTGCAGTCAACACCCACCATCGTACTGTTGACTTCCTGTGTGACATCACAACTGACCACATTGTCCTGCTGCACAGATGGGGTTTGTTGTGATTACTTTGTTACATGAGTCATTTGTGTTGTTATAGTTATAATTCTGTAAGATTTCTGTTTAATAAAATTCTGTTTTTGAAGTTGGTTAGAGTTTTCAACTGTGATTCAAATCTTAGGGTCATAACTTTAAAACCATTAACCGATCATTTATTCGAGCTGCGCGTTCAGCATGCTGTAAACTTACGTTCTGCAGTACTTTGATGTAGTGGATGTTGTTGGGGAAACGCAGCGTCAGTCGAGGTAGGAAAGCATCGTCTCCAGAGTTCAGAAGGGAAGTTTTCACCATGATGGTTTGTCCAGAGCCGAGAGCAAAGTACTGCTGCTGACTGATAACAACAAAATAAAAATATTGATGTTTCAGTCCAATGAACATCCAATCACTAAAGGGCAAGACAACATTTGATTTAGAGCCCATCACTTCTAACATTGGTGTATTTGTTAAATCTCACTTTAATGTATCAGAGATTAAATAATGTTAACTCCTTGACTGAAAACACTTTAAATCAAGAGATTCATATTGACACGATTAAAGGTCACGTTTTATTTTTGCATAATTTGTAGATTTTGGTTGCAGCTCATAAAATGCTTTGTCATTTTCTGATCTGAATCTACTCTTAGGTCTTTTTAAACAGTTACAAATATTGGTTTACTTGATGAGATACTAATATGTGTTTAATCTGTTCACAGACAAAAATGTAAAAACTGCAATTTTCAGTATTTTATAAATTTGGAAAGAGTCATGTTAGTGTTTTTGCTAAACTAGGCTAACGATGTCCTTACACAAGCGAATAACCCCAGGAACCTAACAGCAAAACAACATCAAGTGAATGATGTTGCTTTTCATGAATCCTCTTGAACTAGCCAGCAGCTAATTAGCATCATGTGATAGCCTCAGAGGGAATAACCTCCTGGCGAATTGATTATGGTGCACCGATAAAATACAATAATGCTGTTGTTTTTGTCCTTTCATCTCTCTTTTTCATGATTCAAAAACATGTGTGTGTGTTTCTTACTGTGGCAGCACAAGTTGGGCCGACAGCTGCATGTTGGTCGAACAGTTCACCAGCGAACAGGGGCGAGCAAACCAAGTCTGACAGAGAAAAAGGAGGCAGAGAGTTCACCAATTATAGTTATGAATGGGGCAGTTTTTCTCTTTAATGAAAATGAAAAACAACTCCTGTGAATGAAGAACTCCAGCTGCACATTCCTGCATGTTAACCCTCCCTGCTCTGTTCATAAGTCAGTGGGACATGGGATGATCTGACTGATGTTGGTTAATGTGCTGCAGCTGTAAACACATCTGGATTAGCAGGAAGTCTGTGTTTGTCTGTGTGCGGTTAGCACTAGATTTGCTGTTTCCTGACCTTCAACACAGATCGGTTTGATAATGGACGGACAGATCTGACACTGACGCAGCTCCAACAGGAAACTGAAGGGTTAGTTATCATTGTAGCAATCAGAATAGATCAAAGCCATCTATTAAACTAGTAAATAGCTATAAACTTGGGGAAAGTATTTGCAAACAAGGTTTTTATTGTTAATAAACTACTCAAAGATACCTGAACATTTCTGAACATCTCATACAGAGCAAAGCAGCTAGGGCTTTGGTTTTCCAATATAATAAACAAATATATTTGACTTAATCACTTGTACTGATAGATTATCTGTCGCTCTACCTAGTTAGCGTTAGCGCTGGTCTGTACCTGGTTGGTGATGGTGTTCTGGTGTCCTTCGCTCTGCTGAAGGATGGGTTTCAAAGGGGGGAAGGTTTTAGAAGAGGCTCTGTGGGTGTTTGTATCTCTACGACTGTAGGAAACCTCAAACTTGACAGGAGTAAAAATGTCCCTCACATCTTTCTGTAAGAGGAAGAAAACTATGTTAGCATCACCACAGCAAATGCAATCGACATGTTATTCTATCTAAAACCTTGTTTACTGTCTGTTCATGTGTGAGTGTGTGTTACCCTTTGGTAAGCCACGTGTGTTGAACAGGTGAGCTGGCCATGTCGTGCTCTCACACGCCCCCTGGTGCTATTGGATGACCCGTTACCATGGAAATAGAAACGATGAGGGAAGGATGGTTTATGGAGGAGGTCAGAGGTCAAATTGTATTGAAGATCTGAAGATGACAGAAGAACATAAATAGATATCAGTTGGCAAGTCGTATATATATATATATATTGTCTTATATTCCATATAATTGAAGGTTGTGTCCTTTATGTTCTACTTCTGATAAAAAAAATGTAAGCTCTACAGTTGATGGTGAATTATGGCTGTTGTAGGTCAAAATAAATTAATCTAAAAATTCTGAGATTAAAGTTGCACATTTACCAATTTATCAAGAAATCAAATCGCTTATCTAAGATTGACATCATACCACTTTATGTTATTTAAAAAAAATACATAAACATAATATCTGTGTGTTTACTGTACCTATAGCCCCTTTGAAGTGTCTGGACTTGACACTGAAGCAGACGGTCACATTGAAGCAGACGGTGGGAGTCTTGTGTTCTCTGCACAGCGCCACCTGCTGGTCAATGTGCTCAGGCAGAGTCAGAGACGCCTTCACCTGAATCACCGGGCGGGTCCTACAGCACACAGGACACATTTGGGGGAAATTATTAAAGCATGTTGACAACAGTAACAGATACAGCAAATGCTAAAAGTGTGTGGACAAACTGAGATGGATTGTATTATTTAAAGGCTTCTAGAAAATCCGACTACTCAGCATAAAATGAAACTTTTGGTTATTCTTTTGTAGGATGTCCTGCTTCCCCTGCTGTAAAATATCCTTCCAAATCAGCTAAATAAAGGAGTTTCCTTCCTGTACACCTGTATAAGAGGAAACAGAACTACAACTGTAGGGTTTTGGTTTCAGCACAAAGCTTCAGTGTGGTTTTACCTGAGAATGACAGCGGAGTCCGAGAGGAAAGCACCAACCGCCACATCTGCAGAGACAGAGAGAGTTTAACTTGGTCTTAATGTACAATATGACAGATGTTGTGGCAGGAAACAGTGGTTTTAACATTACCATTATAGCCATTGTCATCGATGTCTATGCCAGAGTTCAGCGACTGGCCAAACATCCTGAGGTCACGACCCAGAGTCGACCCAGTAATCCTCTGAAAACACACACAAGTTTGTTTATTTCATCTTCAGAATCAGAATGATAATCAGGTTGGAACATGATCTTATAAGGCTGGTCATTGTCCTCATCTTGTAAAATGTTCAGTGAAAAAAATGACCCCCTTGTTTTGGTGGAAACAGCAGGTTAAATGTGTCTAATAATGATTCAGTATTATATTAATTAAATTATTTGATTTACTCAATTTCCCCTCTGTTTTGAACACCCAGGTTTCTTATGAAGAGTGATAGTTGTCACTAAAGCTATTTTAAAACATTTCATATTCTGCAAAATAAGACACCATTGATCAACATTTTCCATAGAGCTTATCATTTAATAATTCATGTAAATATGGTTAGTTTAAAAAGAGCTTGAATGTATAATAACCTGAGATGGAGTTGGAGAGATGCCATCCTTCCTGCCGTTGTAAATGTACACAGCTCCTCTTAGGTCATCTTCCTGTGGGGCACCAACTGCCACATCTAATCACAGACACACACACACACACACACACACACACACACACACACACACACACACACACACACACACACACACACACACACACACACACACACACACACACACACACACACACACACACCACACACACACACACACACACACACACACACACACACACACAAAAAGATAAGCACAGTTCATTGTATATTTGTGAAAGTATATAGAGCCTATATTGAAAACCATTGACTTGCATTTAAAACACAGGTTAGATTTCTGTACTTGTGAGGACTTGCAATCGCTACCTTCCATGCAGCCATGAGTGAATGTAGCTACTTTGATGCAGGGTTTTACAGATTTTACACTTTCTACATATTGTTTATGTGTGGTCCCAACTGATCCTCCGGGAGGTCAGGTCTACATTTCTGAGGGGGCAAAGGGTGTGTGTTGGAAAGGCCCTGCAGGGAAATGTTAAGCAGGATGAAAGTATCCAGGATAAGTACATAAACATGAGAAAACAGCAGCATGGTCATTTAATATTTAACCTGAAGTCCTTTGAAGATTTTTTGGGGTAGTAAGAAAGAGCTACTGGACACACGCACAGACACACACACACACCCTTTTATCTTTGTATCTAGCTGTGGCAGATTAGAAGGCAGGATCAGTAACAGAGCAGCAACAGTTTGTCATTACAGTTTTAATTACCTTAATAACACACTCCACCCCTCACGCACTCGCACAAATGGTGAGGGGTCTCTGTGTGTGTGTGTGTGTGTGTGTGTGTGTGTGTGTGTGTGTGTGTGTGTGTGTGTGGTGTGTGTGTGCGTGTGTGTGTGTGTGTGTGGTGTGTGTGTGTGTGTGTGTGTGTGTGTGTGTGTGTGTGTGTGTGTGTGTGTGTGTGTGTGTGTGTGTGTGTGTGTGTGTGTGTGTGTGTGTGTGTGTGTGTGTGTGTGAGTGTGAGTGTGAGTGTGAGTGTGAGTGTGAGTGTGAGTGTGAGTGTGAGTGTGAGGGCGTTGTGTTAGTCAGTTAGGTTATTTATCAGGAAGTGGCAGTTACTGCAGTTGGTGGCGGGATGTGTCCCCTTGGCAAGAGATATACAATACACAAACTATGTGTTTTTTTGGTTGTTACTTGTATTGTAGTAGTATTACTAGCATGTTGGGTAATTTGTATCTGGGCAGACAGCCAAACGGAAACTCTTAAACATCCCTAATTAGTACTTTTGAGGTGCCCTTGAGCAGCAACGTGCACCCCCAGCTGCTCCAGTGGAAATGCTCATAAAACAACTTGAGAAAGTAATGCAACTTCTACAAAGCAGCAGAATTAGAAGTAAAACACTCTTTTTAAGTCATGTTAGTAGTAGTATATATATATATATATAGTAGAAAGCTGATTTAGAGCACTGTTAGCAATATGTTTCCAAAGGTGTTAGCAGCAGTAATAGTAACAGTGGTATGACGGATAAATAAAAATGATAAATAAAATATAAATAAAATATATAAAATAGACAACAATAAATATACATTTATTTATTGTTGTCTATTTTAGATTTTCTGTTGTTATTTTCTGTTTAGTTTTTGCTGTTTTGATTAACTACTCAAGTAGAGTAGTAGTAAGAAACTGCAGTTATAAATGACATCAGACATAATCATAGCTGAAGATCTATTCCAGTAATATTAACAATGAGAATAGTTAAAGTATTAGCATTGCTTTGAGCAGCTGAAGTATTGGTATTACCAGGGTAACCGTCGTCATCTATGTCTCCCAGTTCAGCGATGGTTTCCCCAAATCGAGCGGCGTAGGCGTCGCTGCCGCTCAGCTGAAACTCCGCCTCCATCAGCTTCGCCTGAGACAGAGTCAGTTTGTGAGAACAGACGACACAACAGGTCTTTTCGAAGATATTCATATGTAGAATGGAATTGTTTTGTGATAACACATTTTATCAAGGTTTTTACAGCTTTTAAAGAGTGATATCAAGCACAATTCGAGAATCTTAAATCCTCAGATCTAAATGATAGTTTACAGAAATTGTTTATATCCACAAACTTTCAAGACCTTGTACGAACACTATATTGTGTGTGTGCCCACCTGCCCCTGGTTGATGTACACATGCACTCTCCCCTCCTCCCTGGTGACGCCTGTTGCCATGGGAGCGCCGACCAGCAGATCGGACAAACCATCAGCGTTCAGATCCACCGCCAGCAAACTGGAGCCGAAGTAAGATCCCAGCTACACAACAAAAGCACACAAGCTAAATGCTAAGTATACCATTGTTTGGAATTGAGAATGCTTATGCTAAGTGGCTCCTTACCTCTCTTCCTGACACTTCAGAGACGACTCGCAGCATGTTGTCGTCTACTGTAAAGATGAAGACCTGCACAGAACAAATACACATCAAGCATCGAAACTACTTAACATCCAATATTTACATATCCTCAATAACAACTCTGCAGTTTTCACAACACCAGCAAGGGTACGTGGGAACTGTTTTAACATTGTTAACACCACTAACACGTTTGAAATTATTTATCGTCATATGCACAACAGTTACAGAGAAGCAGTAGTAACTAAAACAAATCTTGTATCTAGGGATCTCTCCAACAACGCTCATTAAATATGAATATTCATTTATTTAGACTTGAGAGACTATTGAGGAGGTATATTAACGTTCAATAGTGTTAAGATGTGAAAAAATGCTTGAAAACAAGCTAGGAACGAAAATGAAAATAATTAAAAAGATGCGATATAATTTATTTATTTTAAATCACTCATATTTAAGCAGAAGAATAATTTTAAGACATAAAAGAGTGCAAGCTCAAATATGATAACGTTTAAATTTAGGGCGGTAATATCAAATAAACGAGTGCTGTGCGAGTATTGCAGGAATGCAGCAAATGGATAAAAAAAAATGAAAATAATTCATTATAAAAAAAATAAGCTATCTTTAAACATTATTTAAACATATATACTTTCAGTGCAGTAAGTATACAGACAGACAGGAGGGTCTCACCTTGCCCCTCTGGTTGTATTGGGGCGCCCCCCCCCACTACCTCTACGGTGCTAGGACTCAGAAAGTTTCCGGCTCCAACAGCGTAACCTGGACAGCAGCAGGACAAAGTGCCACAAATTCAGTATTTTGCAGATGAAAAGTAAATAAGAACATTAAAAGATTGAACCACAAATTCACAAACTTTTTGGATGGTGACCCTTTAGAAATGTGAGCAAGCGTAGGCTAATGAGTCATCAGCATTAGGTTTGTACTAATTATTATAGGACTGAAAATGTCAAACTAAGATAAAAAAAGAAATAAATATAACACCTTTAGTTTATCATCACCAGTGTGGCCAAAAAGGTTATTGGTTTAGGTTTGACATGTAGTGGTTATGGCTGAGGCAAGAATACGTGTGTGTGGGTGTGTTGGAGTGTGTAAGAGAAAGTCGCACAACCACCGCTGTCAAATGGGGTTAAAGTTAACCGAACTTCCTACTTTGATGTCAGCTGTTACTTCCTGTTAAATTGTGTTGATCATCGAGTGAAACTGCTGCACACACATACAATCCTGACTAAGGACAGCACACTCTCGGGACAATATTTTGAGGCTTGTTTTGGTGTTACCGCCTTATCATGAACTCTTCAGTCTTATCATTATGATCATCGGTCTATGTTTTCTGACACTGTGTGAACAGCGTAGATGTTTTCAGAGAAAATAAACACCTTCATCTGAAGAACATCACACCTTTGTGCTTAGCTTCCTGTTTACCATGAAAAGCCCAACAACTGAGAGTGCAGGGGTCATGGTGACTCAGGAAATACACTCACACATGTGTTGAAATGAACTTCCATGACAAAGTGTTTGTGTTTTTGTCTTCCTGTGTTTTAGGCTTCTCCTACTGTAAGTAACATTTCATTCTGGTTTCTTGAAACTCACTTTCGGTCTAACTGTTGGAGTTTCTACAGGCAAAGTTTTCTTGGAGTGTGTAGAAAAGCTGAATTTTAGATGTTTTAAGAAATTGAAATACCTGTTTTACCAAATTGGGGACAATGTGGCCTATAATAATGTATCATTATGTAACTTTTTCTTCAATTCTTCCCAGCATTATATAACAATCATTTATAATGATATTCATTCACAGATTTAGAAGTGACTGTTATTTTGTATATATTGACTGTTGTGCTTTTATTTATGTATTTTAATGTGTGCAGGTGTATAAATGTGTCTATAGATGTTTTGAATGTGTATATACAGTATATATGTATATACATATTTGTATACATATTTGTATATATATTTGTATTTTTTTATTCCTCTGGATTGTGGGAAACACTAATTCGATCTCTCTGTCTGTACACACAAACTGAAAGATTGACAATAAAGTTGACTTAGACTTTGATGATTGGTTAAAAGAAGAAAGAAGGAAGCAGATTTCTACACCAAACCTTTTCCTACATTTGTTGACAAGTCATTAAATTAAAGATAAGGCACTTCCTAAATAACTCAGTGGCTTAGCTCATGATGGTTCTTAAGGAAGGCTTCAACAGTATACGTTATAAATTGGTATCAGCAATGGCTTCAATAGGTATAGGATGTGATGTGTTACCCAGGTAGCTTCCAAAGTTGACAGATCTAGCGTCCTCGTCCAGGTACACCGACATCACTCCACTGGACGTGTTAAAGACCAACACTGAACCCATCCAATAAGATGTCCCCGGAGCCCCCATGATGATCAGATTCTGAGAACAGCACAAGTTGATATCATGTGACACACATCTCTATTAAAGCTTTACTATATATGGTCATTATGTAGATACAAATTGTCTACATAATTCAGTCTACTGGTGGAAACCGTGAAGACAAACAGGATTTTGAGGAATCTAACTGACCTCTGTGAGGAAGTTGGAAATACCGGCCTGACATGACCCATAATCCTCACCGAACTTCTTCTGGTAATCTGTAAGAGGCAAAGACAAACAGACATGTTGAAAGGTGAAGGTGAACAAATAATAAGAAGATAAAACCCAAATGTTTTGCTCTTGAAGCTGAACAGCTGCAGCGTTGACACATATTAACGAATAAACCGAGGCCTAGCCATGATCCCATAATAAATATAAGGAATTATTATTATGATCCCAAATGTTATAATTGCGAGACTGCAGGGGGGTCTCCTTTACTGTAATGAAGGCACCAAACATTTGGATAGTCACACATTATTACGGAGGATATAATATTTCTTATTTGTTACCAAATCTTGTTGTATTGTAATGTATGTGTGTTTACCTCTGTAGCAAGGGATTAAGGGTAGGGCGTATCTCAGGTCGCTCCCGTAACGATAACAGACTCCGTTGGGCAGCTTGTGGTTCTGAACGTCTCTCCTTGAGTAGTAGACGTTCTTCCAGCGATGAGCACATGCCTGCACACACACAGACAACCACACACATAAACACACACACATAAACAGACACATGTCACATGGACTCATTACTGACAACACAATCACAAGTTAGAAGCACAGAGTCTCGTTATTCCAGTGACCCATGACACTGTGACAGAGGTGTGTGTGTGTGTGTGTGTGTGTGTGTGTGTGTGTGTGTGTGTGTGTGTGTGTGTGTGTGTGTGTGTGTGTGTGTGTGTGTGTGTGTGTGTGTGTGTGTGTGTGTGTGTGAGTGTGTGTGTGTGTGTGTGTGGAACAACTTAGCCCTGTTCCAGTTTTAAGTTTAAGTAATAAATAATAAACATGTATCTTTTCAAGTAAGAGCTAAATGGGAATCTAAGACATAAAATAGTCAAAGTTAAAATAAAAATATAAAATAAAGTCTTGCAAATGAACAAACTAAATTCCAACAGGTAAGTAGTAAATATCCCTCATGAGGAAGTAATAAATAAACATAAAGTGTAAATATTTGTAAACAGTTAGTAAAGTATAGTAAGGCAACCTGACAGTAATTGATTGAAACCAAAATGTAACCTGGTAATCTTTCACTCACTGTCTCAATGAGTGACAGTGACGAGACAGCTGCTTCTGCTGCTGCTGTAAATAGTGTTGCTACATCACTAAATTTAGAGTCTCTTCAAGAAATGGAGATCTTATAGATTGCTGGTATGTTGAAGTAAAGCCTATCAGGTGTTAAACATACTGTACATCTCTATTGAGAAAATGTTAAATTATGGCTTTAATCACACATTACAGAACAAGTATGGAAAAATAGATTTGCTGTGTCACTGCTGGTGAACAGCGGTGAGTTGTTTTACAAAGTTGGATTGTTGTATTATAAATACAAAAGGAAGAAGTGTTTTTTGTGTTTTGTGTTCATTTAAAGTGAAATTGAAATGAAAATGGGAAGGTCAAGTTTTAAGATAGATGTAGTCCAAGCAGGGGAGCGAAGGTACCTTTGCCCCCACCACTTTACGCCCCCGGGCCGATTTGGCGTCACAAAACAGACAAACACCTGGCAAAGTACTCAACATTGCGTCTGTGGTAGTCACAATTGTAGGTGTCTTCAGGACACATTTCGACATAATGACACACACACACTTATATGGCTAAAACAATACCAGCATTTGTGACATGGCTGGTAAACTCTGGAGCAATAGGAGGTGTAGGACAGAGAGAAAGTGTTTGTGTTACCAGGATGTGCCCTCCATTGTCTCCAGGTTGTCTGGACAGACTGACTCCCAGCCACTGGTGATCACTCTCTGGATCGCACGTCTTCCCACAGCCCAGCACGTCTGCACACACACATAAATTCAACAGTTTCACACATGCAGCCTTCACAGCTTAATCAGTGGTGTTTTACAGCTAACAAGCTGACAGTGTTGTCTTGTTCAGCCCAACAACGTCCCAAAAAATAAATAAGAGTGTTTGTGGTGTGTTCTTTTTAACTGTATGATGCAGAAAGTCCAGTCTGGCAAATACACATACACGTTTGCCTTTACGATGGGTAATATTATAGATAATGCTCTATCTCAAACACACAATGTGTAATGAATATGTTTGTATTCCAAAGGCTGGAAAGAAACAACACACAAACAGACAGGAACACACCAGCATGCATGGGATGGCAGTGGTGGGACTCGGCAGTGACGTTGCAGCGGTACACAACTCCTGGAGATCGGACCGATGGATTGGAGGTCGAATTTGCTACCGGAGCTCCAACCACCAACCTGAGAGAAGGAGACAGAGACAGGATCTGTCTTTGTGTCTGCTTAGTGTCTTAATGGCATCTGTGTGTGAAGCATCAAAGAGCTTCTCTCATTGACACAAACCGGCTAATTAGCATGCACACACAAACACACACGCACAGACACAGTCCTACTGTGAAGAAGGCAGCTAATAGAGCACCATTAAGTTAATTTAATAAATCTAAATGTACTGATGGCTTAAAGATGGGTCAAGAGTAGAGCAAAAGAGGGTCATTAGAAGGTTGGTAGAGAATCAACATGCAGATCAACAGAGGTTCTATAGAAAATGAATAAATAATCAAAATGAGCTCAATATAGCATTAATAGATGATTTATAGTAGATCACTGGCAGATCAGTAAAATATTAATAACTGATCAACAAGAATCAATCAAAAAGGGTAAAAACGTAGATAAATACCATCTGTGGGATTCATGACGATGCAGCAGGACTGAGTATCCGAACATGGAGGAGGAAGGGCCGCTGAACTCCAGACTGTGCTCCTGATCCAGATTGTATCCTGTTGCAGGATAAACCAGGACCAGGATCTGAACCAGGATCAGGCTGCAGAGCGTACACATGCCGCCCGCTGAGGGACACATGATGGAGGACAGACTGCAGGGACACCAGAGAGAAGAGAGAAATTATTATCAATACATCAAATCAAAACAAAATTTGATTTTCTGTCGTCATCTTCACATACTCACTCACAAAAATGCAACATTCTAGTCCAGTACTTAAAGATCCCTAATACACCAAATGTGTCATTGATTGAACACTGCAGAGACTGGTTAGCCTATTTTACCATTAAGATTGGAAATAGTGGTAAACAGTATATCTTTAACCACTAATTTCAAGGCTGCATGATGTTTGCTTAATTTGTATACAATCAAATATGGTAGTCAGTATATCAGTCAGTCCTATTTGTTCACATCTCCTCAAAATGTTCAAATTGTATGACAGTATTGGCTTAATCATCACCATCTTCAATAGGCAAAAATCCTTTGTACTGGCATCACTGTCTTATTTGACTTAGCATTGAGAGCTTTACTCATTTTGGCTTTATAAAGACACAATGTGCTAACTAGTAAGTATTAGAGGGGTTGTTAGGTGGATTTTGTTCCAACAGAGCCAGGCTAACTAACAGTTTCACCCTGTTTACACTAACTATGCTAAACTAAGCTAACTAGCGGCTAGCAGTACTTTGACAACAGCCTACTAAAATGTTCTGTTACCTTGGTAGTAACTTTCATTATAATTAACTGGTAATTAAGCACATAGCATAGCATAAAGGACTATTACAAAGTCTAACATAATTATTCAATTGTTTAGTGATGTGTCTACAGTTTAATTGTTATTTAGGAATATCTCAAACTCAAAGAAATTAGACAAAATCAGTTCTCTGCAGCGGTCCCCCAAACTTGTTGTTCCGGCCCTGCATGGGGACTGAAATATTCCTAACAATATTTCTAAATCGTAAAAGTTTTTGAGATATTTTGACATTAAGTGAATTTTGAACTAACATTTATTTGTATTCTGAAAAGCTTATTAGTCATAAAGGTAAGCAATCATTTGGTTTATCAAACAATGTAGGCTATGTCGATAAAAATGTCTTAACTTCAATCTGACCAGCAGTCCATTAAAAGAACATTAAGTTTAAGACAGGAACAAAAAGCCAACGTGTTTGTTTTATGATTGAAAACCTTCCTCATTAACTTTTCCACTCATTCATTTAAGTCCATATGTTATATGACTATAACTAACGGCGAGTTAACTTTACCTCTATCCCGTTTGAGACAGCAGTTATCCCGGGTCAGACTGTGGGTCCACTCGGTATCCTACGGGCAGAGGCTGGATCAGTGCCGGGCACAGGGGACCAAAGAGCCGCAGTGTGTGTCCGCAAAGTCTCCGTTAAATCCTTCTTGTTCCCGGTGTGACTCGCTGGATGGAAACCTCCTGTTGCTCCTCGGTCCGTTAACCGACTTGTGCGTAAAACGAGGTACCCCGAGGCTCTGGGATTGTGTGACACACAGAAAAAGTGAGGCTGAGTCAAAGAAACCGAAGAGAAAACCCCTTAAACTAAGTTCATCTCAGTTTCAGAAGAAGTCAATGAAACTGAGAACTAGGCGCGCTGAGACCCTCCCTCCTGCGCGCGGTGCATCGGTGTTTCCTCTCTACCCCCAATGTCCGCCTAAACTATAAGAGCGTATGTGTGTGTGTGTGTGTGTGTGTGTGTGTGTGTGTGTGTGTGTGTGTGTGTGTGTGTGTGTGTGTGTGTGTGTGTGTGTGTGTGTGTGTGTGTGTGTGTGTGTGTGTGTGTGTGTGTGTGTGTGGGTGGTGTGTGTGTGTGTGTGTGTGGTGTGTGTGTGTGGTGTGTGTGTGTGTGTGTTTCCTCCTCAGTTATCACTACAGTGTGAATGGATTCAGTGCAGCTTTAATCTCATGGAACTGTCTGATCCCTGCTACATACAAATACTCTATATAGCTTTGAAAACAACTAACACACACACACCATCATCATAAATATAAGTAAGGGTCTTTTGAAAATAGTTATAGATCGTTGCAATGGAACACAGTGACGTATTTTATTTATTACTTGTATTTGCCACTACACTATGGACCAACGCTGGTAAGAATGTAGCCTACATTAATCCATTATATGACCCTAATATGTGATAAAGAAGGCCATTCTTATTAAAAAAGTTAGTCACCTTCTTTTGCTTTTTAATATATTGAATACATTTTGATGAACGGTTTAAAGTTGTGTTTGAGGGACAAGTGTGCCAAAGTATTTCTTCACTGAGGTATTGGTCAAAACGTATCTTTGTAAAAGTTGTGATCAAGACAACATGAGCAGTCACTAAATGTCCTTTTTTTTAAGTGTACCTAAAGTTTTACGTCTAAAGAAGTTTAGGAGTATAGTCCAGTATTGGGAGTGTTACCACAGTGAGACGTCACAGCTCTCATGTGGTCTGTAATCCTGCTCAGTTGAGGTGACGCTTTTAACAGCGTAACGTATAATTAAGACCAACATTGTTTAGACCTACATTAGCATTGCCTGAAACAGCGGGGGTCCTGATGCAGAGGGACAACTGTAACACCAAGTTCTTTAGCTAAATGCTAACACCGGCATGCCAAGATGCTTACAATATTTACACATTTTTACGGTGGCCCTGAAGTGCAAGACACCACAGCATTTCACAAAACACTACAGCATTTCAGAAAACACCACAGCATTTCAGAAAACGCCACAGCATTTCACAAAACGCTACAGCATTTCACAAAACGCCACAGCATTTCAGAAAACACCACATCATTTCAGAAAACACTCCAGCATTTCACAAAACATAACCGCATTTCACAAAACACAACAGCATTTCAGAAAACACCACAGCATTTCACATTGGACGGAAAGGGTATTCCTTTAGGGAGAACACTTCTTGTTTGTGATTGGACAGAGCCAGCCAGAGAAGCACTGCTGTGATTGGTTGTTATATTTCTCACAGGCTCCACCCTCTACAGGACTCTATGGGTACTCCCCACTCCCCTTCTTATTATACATCCATGGTACTCCCCCATATCCTATCATGCACGCATTCCTTCACTGAGACTTCCTCAGGCCCTGTCTCAGGTCGACTATTTTCATTTCCTCGCTCCTCAGTCCTCGGTCTCACCGGAAGTTGATTTGTCTGCGCCATCTTGAGTACCGTCCCATGGCTCTTATTTCTGCCGGAGGACCGAGGATCGAGGAGCGAGGAGCGATAATGGAGGAGCTATAATCGAGGAACCACCAGACCATCCTCCGATGAAATCCTCAGACACTCGCCCCGCCCCCTTACTTTGTATCGCTCACTGATTGGACGATGCAGTGCATGCACTGATCGCATTCTTCTTGACATGAGAGCAGTTTCCCAGCGGAGTGAAGAAAATTAGGGCTGTCAAGTTAACGTGTTAATAACGCGTTAATGCAAAAAAAAATTAACGCCACTAATTATTTTAACGCGATTAACGCATGTGTATTTTTTTCCTCGGCCGCCCCGTAGTTTCAGAACGCATCGAGTTTAAAATACCATCTACAAGCTGATGCTGACAGCTTGCGGCAGACCACACTTCCACGCTAACCGGCAGGCACCGACTGGCTGTTGGGAGGACCGGGAGGGTGTGTGTATGTGTGGCCCGAGCGAGCGAGAGAGAGACCTTACGTGCATTGTTGTTGTTAGCATCTGGTGCTAGCTAGCTGCGCTAACGGATATGGAGCTGTTTAAATGAAAACAGAGGAGCGACATTTCGCCACAACTGCGCCGAGCACTTGACTTTATGCAGGAAGCCAGACAGTGGGACATTGTACGAAAAGTCAGCACACTCAGCACGGATAGTGCGCAACATGATTGCAGCGTCCAGGCAGCTCCCGTTCGAGCATATGCCTTGAGTTGCACAACGATCCAACACACACACACACACACACACACTCATGCACGCGCGCGCACACACACACACACCATTTGTATTGTATTATTGTATGAGAGAGGTTCCAGGTTGAATTGAGGCGAATATTTGTAATGTTCAGAGGTGTTTAATATTCATGAGAATATTTGTCATTGTTCAAATGATAATAAACATTAGCATAAAGCATATTTGTCCACTCATATGTTGATAAGAGTATTAAAAACTTGAAAAATATTCCTCTAAGGTACATTTAGAACAGATCAAAAATTTGCGATTAATTTGCGATTAATCGCGATTAATTATTTTAATCGACTGACAGCCCTAAAGAAAATACATGAAACTCACGAGAGTCACTCCTCAGTTTACTGTGTTTTGTTTCAATTCATGTATCATTTAGTTACAAATATGTGATATATCTGAACAACAAAGTGGTCAAAAATCATTTTATTCATTTATTGGAAACATTTTCATGATCGCTTTTTTCATTCATTTATTGTCATTTCCATTCAGTCATTAAGTGCTATTAAAATGTTAATGTGCTACATATCCACACAAACAAACAAAGTGTGCAATCCAATGAATGTTAATCTAACTGGGTTTTGATAGATAACATATCTCTTTTTCTTCTCTCAATTATTTGATTTCTATTGTGCACTCTAATCAATATTAATCAAACTATTGTTCGTTTATACATTTTAAGAATGGCGTTTATCTTTTTGAGAATGAGTTCTTATTTGATTTTATTTATTGGGGTCTACAACAGATGATACAAATGTTTGTGTCAGTAAATGTGTACTAACAGAGGGTGTTTGTGAAAATAACGGGGACAGAGCTGCTGTCAGACCAACAGCTGTGCGGCGTCATCACAAACGGACGTCGCTTCACGTGACGCTCCGGAGGAAAGGACGTCCCATTGCTCTTAAAACTCATTTCCCTGCTTCTCGTGGTTTCCTTGCCTCTCTCCATGCTTCCCTGGTGGGAGGGACTAAACACAGGGAAACGACGCAAGTGAGGGAAGCAAGGATTTCATTTAACCGACCTGAGACGGGCCATAGACGTACCCGGCCCCTGGGCGGGACTACCTGAATGCGCGCGCACCTGACGCATAAGAGGCGGCCTCACCCGCTCACTGCTATCCCTTTCTCTTCAGCTAAGCAGCATACGAGAAGTAACTGAGTGAAGAGAGACGGATAATAACAAAATGACAAAGAAGATTTCTTTAAAACACACAGTATGGACTCACCTGCGGAGTGCCCGTGTCCTACATGTCCGGGTTCTATCAGGAGTGACGATCCCCATACTCGGTGTATCGAGTGTCTGGGGTCTGACCACGCGGAGGCTAACCTGCCTCCATCAGCAGTCGGCAGCGCCTGCCGGTTGTTGACTCGATCCAGCCGCCTGCACAGAGTGGCGGTGTTCGAGGGGGGCTACGTTTCACCGGTGGAGGACCCAGAGCTTGACGTGGTGGAGATGGAGGATCTTCTCGGGCAGGGAGTGCCCTTCGTCTTCGCCATCCCAGCAGCCCGGACGGGTCCGGGCATCGGAGATGAACGATGATGACACCTCGTCGTCCGGGATTTCCGCTGACCGCCAGGAAGGCCATCAGCAGAGGTCGGCTCGTCAGGACTTCTCTGCGGTGATGGCTATGGCAACGGAGCGTGCAGGCTTGCCGCTTCCCCCACCAATACCTCCGAGGCCAGTGAGCCGCCTGCATCAGGGCTTCTACGGCCCCGGGCCGTCCAGCACAGCCGGCCTTCGTTTCGCCCCCCCCCCTGCCGGACATCTGGCGGTGTGTGGAGGCCACGTGGCGGTAGCCACTGAAAACGAAGGCTACGGTGGCTACTTTTGGCAGGTATCCTCAGTGTCCCAGTGTGCCCCCCGCTGGAGGACAGCCTAGCGGCCCATCTGCTTCCGCAGGCAGCTGGGTGGGCAGAGGAGAGAAGGCCCCTGCCCTTGCTGCCGCGTGACCGAGAGATGCTTGATTATCTGGATAAGATATTCAAGCTCGGGGTGCAGATGGCTGCGGCGGCCAATAATCTAGGTGTGTTGGGAGTGTCGCTGATTTCCCCTCAGCAGGACGCTCCCTCCCCCCCGTCTGAGGACGGGAGTGATTATTCGGATGGCTACCGCAGCCGGTCGGGTGATGGCACTGACCACCGCGCGTCACGTGTGGTTAGGTTTGACCGCCCTAGCTAAAAAGGGCCGAGATGATCTCCTTGGGGCCCCCGTTGCCACGGGAGGGCTCTTTGGATCGATAGCCTCGGTCACTCAGTGCTTCAACCGCCTGGAGGTGGAAAAGGCTCAGCTCAGCCGCATGTTGCCGCTGGCTCACCCTCAGGCCCCTCCGCAAGGGGGAGTGCGTCCGGCGGTGGTAAGGCGGAGAGAGAGGCGTCGGGTGAAAGTCCCGAGAGCGCCCTCTGCCTCCGCGGTCCGTCCTGAGGTGCCGGGTCAGTACCGAACCCCGCAGGGACAGGCCGACAGAATCCATCGGGCTCCTCCTCCGGTCCGCACTACGGTGCCACCGCAGCGGAGGGGTACCGGGTGGGGAGATCCGTCCTCCAGGAGTTGACTGGCGGCGGGAGGAAGCGTCTCGGCAGGGGAATTCTCCAGCCAGGACGCGAGGGCAAATCCTGCCTCCTCCCTGTACGATCCTTTTGTTGTAAAGTCATCCTTTGACAATAAAAGAGTTCAATTATATTCCAGTTTGAGTGTCTCTGCTTTCCACACGCCCACACAGCCACGTAATGTTGTCAGTACAGTTTCCCCACTCGCTG